TGGATACAAAAGCCAAAATATGTTCTTGTTGCAGATCATGAGACTAAGAATTTATTAAACATCTGGTAATGAATAATGTGATCAATTAAAAAGGTCACTGACCTTTTAGGCCACTGCCATTGGTGACATCATCATAATATGCAGTCTTGAACTCCTTTGCTAAAAAAGGAGAGCAGACTGTTAATATACAAGCAAACAGCAGTATTTGAATAGTATTGAGTCATTAATCAAATATATAATAGAATTGCTAGTTACAATTATTTCTTTGTTTAGGTGAATTCATTATAGAGTTTTTTTGTGTGAAATGTAGAATGTATATGCACTTAAGCTCTCTTTTGTGTGAAATGTGGAATGTATATGCACTTAAGCTCTCTAACCTGAGAGAAGCTCATCAGCATCTTCATACCCAGAATGCAGTTCTTCAGAGATGAGACTCCCTGTTAAAGGAGAGCAGAACCGTCAGAAACATGTTCATCATTACAAACAGACTGAATCCTCATTTCCTTTCGATTATAAATAAGACAAGACAACACAAAAATTAATTATTTACATTTAAAAAGTATTATAGAGAGAAATCCCTTTTTATTGGGCCTATTAGCAAATACACATGTACTGTATCCTCACATGAACCCATTCCTCACTGCCTTCCAGAAATACAAACACACACACACACACCTGCACCTACACTTAAAATTATATGAACACCTGCTTATGACAATCTAAAAATATACAGGAAGAGACGCTGACAGACACACTCTCTCTCTCTCTCTCTCTCTCTCTCTCTCACACACACACACACACACACACACACACACATATAAACATGCACCTGCAGCTCTGTGGTTTTCTGTCAGGAATTCTGTCGTTTGAAGCAGGAGGTTTAACAGGACTAATAATAGATGAACATCAACTGTCTGACAGACTCTCTTATTAATGGTATAAATGAGATAGATGGCTCATGTCTCACCCCTCTGAGTGAAGTGATTGTGTCTGTGCTGAATCTCCTCATAAACGGCCTCAGTCATCATCCTGTGTCTCCTCTTAGAGAGAGCTGTGAGTGTAGACAGACAAACCTGCTCTCAGTTCACAACACATGACTGATCACACACTGAATAAGACACAATATGACAGTCTCTGGATCTCTCCTACCTCTCCTCATCACTCTGTTCTGCTGAATCAGTATAAGCAGTGGCACTAAGAGCAGTAAGAGCACACCTCCCAGTACAATCACAAGCACTTGGGGTACAGAGAGAGACGCTGCTGGAGGAGTTTGTGAAGGAGTGACTGATGTTGAGCGCACTGGAGGAGAAACTGGAGGAGAATCTGATGATGTTGTGGCAGGAGTAATGGACACTGACACACCTGGCAAAACAGACACAAACACATTAATTAACAATAATGCAAATGACCGAATAAACACTCAACTATTATTAACACTAAAATTATCACAAATTTTTGCTGTGACCTGCACAGGTGAGTCTAACAAGCTTCTTGCGTGAGCAGTCAGTGTGGTTATTCAGGGACAGAGGACAGTCCCACAGGTGAATCTCATTCCCTCTGCACTCGACTCTGTTCAGCCACACAACACCCAACACCTTCCCAAAGGTTGAATTCCCATCAGCCCTCAGTGCTGCTCCACAACCCAGCTGC